TAACCAACTGAGCCACCCAGGTGCCCCCCTCTAAGCATTTTTAAAAATTCATCTACTGTTTATAAAAACCCCATATGGCTGGTACTGTCCTTATCCCCATCTTCTAGATGAAGAAGTCACTGATAGTTTAAATCACTTGCACAAGGTCACATGGCTAGTAAGTGGTGAAGCCATGTCTCATCAACCTAGACTACAGGAACTCTGAACATCTCATGAACCCACAGGATATTATACTTGTTCATTACACTGAAAACATCATGCTTATTTTACCTGGGTTAGTAAGATACCTTGGAAAGATACAGGCATGCCAGAGAGTGGAGAATCACACAGTAATTTAGGAACCTGAGACCTTGATGAAGTCCCTAGGGATCTAGTGTCCAGAAATACCAAGACATTCTCTTCAAAAGGACATGCTGCCATGGCTCAGCCCATCATCACCACTTAGAAAGAAACATGGTCCTTGGTGGACCTCTTTAAATTCTGGAAACAAAATAAACCATTATTTTAAAGTGCTGCTCTGTCCCATTTCTGGAATAGCCAATAAAGCTGCCAGTTTTTGTTTTTGTTTTTGTTTTTTTAAGATTTTATTTATTTCTCTGACAGAGAAAGAGACAGCGAGAGAGGGAACACAAGCAGGGGGAGTGGGAGAGGAAGAAGCAGGCTTCCTGCTGAGCAGGGAGCCCAACTCGGGGCTCGATCCCAGGACCCTGGGATCATGATCTGAGCCGAAGGCAGATGCTTAACGACTGAGCCACTCAGGCACCCAAAAGCTGCCAGTTTTAAATGGGGCCCAGGACATGACAAGGCAGTGTAGCAGGCCAATGTGGCAGGGCAAGATACTGTTATTTGGGTCTTAGGATCCAGCAAACTCAGTGCTGTTTGAAATGTTTGTGGCAGATATATAAAGCTACCAATAGGCCCTGATAAGAGAATCACAACACAAACCACCTAGGCATAAAGCCCCACACAGAAAAGGGGTTTTCAATCTTGGCACAATTAGGAGGTTGGTCACTCCTAACGCTGCAAGGGGCTGTCCTGTACATGGTAGGATATTTAGCAGCATCTCTGGCCTTTCCCCCAGTAGATACGAGTAGCACTCCTCCCAAGTTGTGACAAAATGTATACAAACATTGCCAAATATTTCTTGGGAAGCAGTATTGTCCCTAGTTGAGAATCACTGCTTTAAATATTTTATTTATTGGGACGCCTGGGTGGCTCAGTTGGTTAAACGGCTGCCTTCGGCCAGGGTCATGATCCCAGGGTCCTGGGATCGAGTCCCACATCGGGCTCCTTGTTCAGCAGGGAGCCTGCTTCTCCCTCTCTCGCCTTCTGCTTGTGCTTGTCTAATAAATAAAATCTTTAAAAAAAAATTTATTTATTTATTTATATATATATAGAGAGAGAGAGAGCGCACGAGCAGGTGAAGGAGAATTCCAAGCCGACTCCATGCTGAGTGCAGAGCCTGACAGGGGCTCAATCCCACGACCCTGAGATCATGACCTGAGCCAAAAATTAAGAGTTGGACGCTTAACCAACTGAGCCACCCAGGCGCCCTGAGAATCACTGCTTTAGAATAAAGCTATGCCCTCTTCTATAGAGGATTATGCTACTTTTGAGAAAGAGCTCCTTGCTTGGCTTTTGGGTTCTGATAGAGAATGACCATGGGGCACCAAAGTGACCATGTGACCTGATCTACCTTAAAGAACTGGGTGTTCTAACCCACCAAGCAATAAAGTTGAATGTGCTAGCAGCATTACATCATTAAGTGGAAGTGATACTATACCAGACATTAGTTCTTCCTATCCTTAAGGCACATGAGATGATAGTTCTCTACCTTCTTTAAGTCAGATGTGACCTCTTGACTTGCTTTGACCAACGAGCGGAAATGATTCCTGTGGAAGCATTTAAATGCCAGTATGCACTCTCCAGCCTGTTCTTCCCTTGCCACTATGAAAATAGAAGCAGGGAAAAATATAAACATGTACTGCTGACCCACCATATGGAAAACAGCTGCCCTGCAGTCACCCAGACTTTCAACATTTTACATGAGAAAAAACAAATCTTTTTTTTTTTTTTTTTAATTTTAAGCCATTATTTGAAAATCGGTTATTACCACTACATAAGTTGCTGACCCTGACTATAAAAGGTTATATATAAGGTTAGGACAGGCCCTGGAAGCACAAATAAGCCTTAAAAACAAATGGCTCAAACACCCATGGCACACACTTCTAAATGTCAACATTCCCTTAATCTATGAACTTGCAGAGTTCCATATGATCAAAGAAAAATTCCGGCCTGGTTTACATATGGTTCCATATGAGATGCTGGCATTACGCTGATACAGAGGTGGCCCTGAAACACAGGAGATTTACATGTTCACCATGCCTGAAAAGAAAGATGACCAGAGGTAAATATCTAAGGACTGGCTACACAGGGTCTGTCACTGTACTTGCTTAATATGCTCATGAACAAAATGGCCCAGTCAGTAGGAACAGAAATTACACCTTGGCTCAACACAGATGTCCCTCATCAATGTTAACGTATAATTCCATGACATGCCAAGCTATCTCACACCTCCATGCATTTTCTTAAGCTACTCTCCTCCTCTCTAGAATGCCTTTCAAATACCCTCTAACCTAACCGCCTTACTCTCGCAAGACTCAGATGAATAGTCACTTCCTCTTTAAAGCCTTTCTTAGCATACAAGCCGGTTATCCATTCAAAGCCCTTTCTTTCCCCCTCATTCACAAATTCTCAACCTAGAGTCCAAAGACCCCCCGGAATCTGTGAATAAAACTCATAAACTTTGATGGGAAGAAAATTATATCATTCTTTTTATTTTCATTTAATTTTCTAAAGACTTATTTAATTATTTTAGAGAGAGAGCATGCACAAGTGGAGGGAGGGGCAGAGGGAGAGAATCTTCAAGGAGACTCCCCACTGAGCACAGAGCCTGACGTAGGGCTCCATCTCACCACCCAAGAGATCATGACCTGAGCCAAAACCAAGAGTTGGATGCTTAACCCACTGAGCCACCCAAGCACCCCATATCATTCTTTTATTTTTAATCTCTAAAATTTATCATTTCATTTGATTATAAATGTAAGCAAAACAACAACAACAAAAAATCCACAGTATTTTCTATGTCTTGGGTCACCAACAGATATCACAGGTGGTTTCACTCAAATTAGAGTTGTTGCAGACATCAAAACATCATTTATATTCATCACTACTTCATGCCACATATCTCTGGTTAAAGAGCTTTTGCCCCATGCTGGGAGAAAAAAAGTTTCCAACGACAGTCTCTCTTCTTAAGCATACAAAAAACATCACAAGTGATTCTTTTAGGACCTCTTTCTCTAGCCTTTAGAGAAGGGAAACAGCCTTCAATCCCTCTCCTTAGGAAACAGAGAACAACTGATTTCTTTTCATTAATATTGCTCTTTCAAAGCAATCACCTCTCCCTCTCCATCTTAAGCTGCTTGTAAATTGATGAGGTAGGTAGAATCACAGTGGTAACTAGTCCTAACAGCACACAGTACTTAATACTTTCCATTCCCAGAAAACTGTGTAGAGGCTTATTAGTCCTATTATTAAACCATAGCTTCTCTAGGGCAGGGAATATTCCTCAGTTGTGTTTGCATTTCTAGTTCCTAACAAGGCCTAGCACACAGTACTGAATTCAATTCTATTGGATGAACGCCTTAAAAACAACTGGGCAGTCAGCAGCAGACTCAGCAGAGAGAGAAGCAAGTATGGCAAAGACTATTAGTTCCCACCCAATACAGATGCCTACCTCCACCCCCACTGATATAGTCTATATGCTCAACTATTTCTGAACCTCACTTATAGCCAAATACGGCCAAATTACTAAGTTCTGGTAAATGAGATCAGAGGAAATACTGTGTGAGTAACTCTAGAAAGGTTTCTTAAAAGATAAGAGGTGTGCCCCTTTAGTTCTCTGCCTTTCTTCTTCCTTCCCTTTGCCTAGAACTTGGATGTGATGACTGGATATCCAGCAACCATTCTGTGACCTTGAGAATAGAAGCCAGATGCTAAAAATGGCATAGGAAAAAGACAGGAGGAGCCTGGATCCTTGACAACTCTGGAGTTGCCATATCAGTCCAGACTGCCAATTTCTGATTTTTTTTTTTTCACAAGACAAAGAAATGAACTACTATCTTGTTTATGCGATGGTTATTTCTTATCTCTGTATCTAGCAGTCAAACACAATTCCTCACTGATAAAGTGAAAAAGAGACTCCAGCAACAAATCTGTAGTCTAAGATGCCAAGAGCCATCTCAGCTATGCTTCAACTTAACGATGATAAAATGTAAGACATTTCCACTGAAACGGGATAGAGTAGGAAGCAAGACTAAACAAAGAGCCCATACTCTGTGAAGGTACAGCACCATTATAGCTCAGTTGGAGGGGTGTTTATAGTAGTTTGGTACAGTGACAAGATTTCATAATGCAGTACTGTAATTTCTTGCCAACATTTAGGAGTTATGTTCTAGAAAACTAATGTAGCTTATAAAACTGTGACTGGCAAGACCAAATTATATGAAAATAAGAGGTTAGGAAAAATAAACATTTTGATGAAACGTGTTAAATCAGCTGTTTAAAAGCTGTCCAAATAAAAAAATCAGTAACCTTTCTACAGAATAACCTCCTTCAAGTTTTCAGTAATATTGTTGTATGCATAACAATCAAATAAGGTTGATTTCCCACATATTACACAGATTACTCTACTTCATAAAAATTTTGAACCTGCCTTACCTAGCTTGCCATTTAACATCTTTTGTACTTATGTTTTTATTTGTACTTGGTTAAGTCTCAACAAATATTTCAAATCTTAGTGAAAGTGTCATTTTTTTGGACTGCTTTTCATCCTTACAATAAGAAAATGGAAAATAATCTGAATGTTTGTGTCTCACCACAATTCATATACTGAAATACTAACCCCCAATATATTGGTATTAGGAGGTGGGGACTTTGGGAGGTGATTAGGTCTTGAGTAGGTAGAGCTTTCATAAATGGGATGAGTACTTATAAAAGAGACCCCAGAGAGCTCTCCTAGCCCGTTTGCCATCTCATAACACAATGGGAGACAGCATTCTCTGAACCAGGAAGTGGGCTCTCAGTAGAAAAACAATTTGCTGGCACATTGATCTTGAACTTCCCAGCCTCCATAACTGTTAGAAATAAATTGTTGTTTAAGCCACCTAGTTTATCATACTTTGTTATAGCAGCCCAAACTGACAGAGACAGAGGTCTTTTTCTATTTCTCCATTCCCCTGAATTTAGGCTAGCTTTGCAAGTTGCTCTGACCGACAGAAATGTGATGGAAAGGACATTATGTAAGTTCCAAAGCCTAAGCCCTAAAGACAGCATGGAGCCCTGTAGCTTCTACCTTCACCTTTTTAGAATGCTACCATGAAAATGCCATGTAAGGTTGCCAGACTAGCTTACTAGAGAAAGACAAGCTACACTGAGAAGACTGAAGCACTTTAACGGACAGCTAGCACCAAGTGCAAACATGTGAGGACACGCTGTACCTTCCAACTCAGTCAATTCTCCAGGCAGATTCGACTACATGAGAGAGCTAAGTGAAACCAACAGAGGGACTGCTTAGTCAACCTACAGATGATGAAAAATAATAAATCTCTTTGCCCTAAGTCATTAAGTTTTGATGTAGTGTGTTAGGCACCAATACCAAAAAAGCCCCCCAAAACTAAAATAAACAAAAAACCCCAACAACTTGATACTTAATAGTTCCTTAAGATGAGAAAAATCACTCAAAATTTTTGTTTTTATCTTTAATTCACCTATTGTAGTATCCTGGAGGTTATGCTGACTCCAATGCTTCATTCCACTATTATTAAAAAAAACCTGAAATTAATGTATGAAAGTACAACAGGGAGCCATTAAAGTATTTTGCATAAAATAAGTAATATGTAATAGGTACTTCTGAAAGAACACTCTGATTGCACTACAGAATGGACTGGAGGGAGAAAAGACTGACTCCAGGATGACCCATAAGACTATTGGAATGGGGTGCCTGGGTGGCTCAGTTGGTTAAGGAACTGCCTTCAGCTCAGGTCGTGGTTCCAGGGTCCTGGGATCGAGTCCCACATTGGGCTTCTCCTGCTCTGCGGGGAATGTGCATCTCCCTCTGCCTCTGCCTGCCAGTCCCCCTGCTTATGCGCTCTCTGTCAAATAAATAAATAAAATCTTAAAGAAAAAAAAAAAAGACTGCTGGAATGGTCCTAGTGAAAAGCCTAGAAAGAGGCTAGAGGCCTAAACTATCACTGCTGCTGCCGCCACGACTACTATATTTACTATATACAGTATTTAATGCATTTATGATGCATTAAATACTGTAATAAGAACCTTACTTATATTTGCTCATTTAATCTAATTACCCTTTAAATTTTTTTTTTTTTTTTAAATAAATAGACTCACAGGAAGTTCCCAAAATATGTGCCAGGAGGTCTCAGGTACCCTTGGTCCAGTTTCCTCCAATGGTAACATCTTGAATAACTATGGTAAAATATCAAGACCAAGAAATTCACACTGGCACAATCTACAGAGGTTATTCAGTTTTCAGCAGTTATATAACCACTCACTTGTCTGCGTGTGTGTGTTTGTGTAGTTCTATACAATTTTATAACATATGTGTATTTGTGTAACTACTGCCACAATCAAGATACAGACTGTTCCATCAAGAGGCTCCCCTCTCCCTGATCCTTAACCCCTGGCAACGATTAATCTGCTCTTCATCTCTATAATTTTGTTATTTTAAGAACATTATATAAATGGAATCATACAATATGTAACCTTTGGAGAGTGGCTTTTTTTTCACTTAAGACTCTTCCACGATGTTAGATGTATCAACAGTTCATTCTTTTTTATTGCTGCATACTGGTCCATTGTATAAATGTGCCAGTTTGTTTAACCATTCACTTGTTGAAGAACATCTGGGTTATTTCCAGTTTGGGGCTATTAGGAATTAAGTTGCTATGAGCATTCATGTACAGATTTTTATGTGAATATGTTTCAATTTCTTTGGAATAAATGCCCAAGAATGCAATTGTGCAGTTGTACAACTCTTTTTAATGACAAAGAAATTGAGGCTATAAATGTGGAGCTGGAATTCTAATCCAGATGGTACACCTCTAAGTCTTAACTCTTCATACTTCTAAAGGTGTAGAAATTGAGAGAAGTAAATGGAATTTAAAAAGTAGCAAGAAGGTAGAGTCAACAGAACCTAGCGTTGTTGACATGAGGGATATATGAATGAAGTGTCAAAGGTAATACCAGGTTCTAGCTTCAGCACGTTAAATGATAGAAGGTAAAATATGAATTCACTTTTATACATATTGTATTTGAGGGACCTGCAGGTCATCCTCATCTAGCAGGCAATTAGATTTACAGAATAGGAACCAGAGATCAAGAAAAAGCTCTGGATTAAAGACAGACTTAAGAATCATATTTAGATGCTAACTGAGCAAATGAAATCAGAGGGACAAGGTAAAGAATAAGAAGAGATCTGACCACAGAACTCTGAACAGAAACATTTGTACCTTCTAGTTTTTTTTCCACAAACAATAAACAGTAAGTACTGTGATAGACTGCAAGTCCATATTAACTTTAGATTTTACAATCATCAAGTAGAAAGGACAGGAGTATACTCCCCACTCCTTTTTTCAATTAGAAAGAAAGAACTACAAAAAGAATACATGCTAGTTAAAAAGCCTCACTACTACTCTGTTTAATACCATAATGGTGGATACATGTCATTTTGCATTTGTCCAATGTACAAAGACAAGACTGAACCCTAATGTAAGCTATGGACTTTAGGTGATAATGATGTATCAATGTAGGTTCATCAATTGTAACAAATTTACCACTCTGGGGGATATTGATAATGGAGGAGGCTACACACGTGTGTGAGGCGGGTATGCGGTATGTCTTTGTACCTCCCGCTCAATTTTGCTGTGAACCTAAAACTGCTCTAAAAAATAAAGTCTGATTTAAAAAAATTGCTTTTAATCCTCCATACAAAAGAATATATAAAAAATTATTAGTTTCATTCCCTACTCAGCATCCAACTCCCTCCACACATTTTTTCCAAAAAAATATATGGGGAAAGGAATCTAAGGAAGTCAACTGACAAATCTTAGTAGCTAACAAAAATCTGTATTAATTAAGAACCAAGCACTATCAAGAGTCAAGGATTATGTCAATTATATGCAATTTTAAAAAGAGTTAAGGGGCCATAATAACAAAAGTAATAGATAAATTGAATTCTAACATTTTTGGGAGTTCAGTGTTTTACATAGAACAAAATAACTATTGGGGCACCTGGGTGGCTCAGTCGTTAAGCGTCTGCCTTCGAATAAATCTTAAAAAAAAAAAAAAAAAAACCTGACAAAAGCTAAAATTAAAATAAAAAAAAAAAAGAACAAAATAACTATTTTGTAACCCATGCTTTGCCATTCAATAAACTGGTGTCACTTACCATATTTTATTACTTTTTTTTTTAGCAGTTACATTTCAAACCTAGAAAGAACTATAATTCTATGAATGATCAAAGTCATGCCTCTTAATACATTATTGTGTTTTTACATCTTTCTCCAAAATTAGTCTACTCATCTGCTTTTTCTTATACTTGTCTCCATGGCAGAGATCCAAACAGAAAAGTCTAGACTTCGTTAAAGATGGACCATGAATTTCTAAACAGGGCCCAAAGTCAACACATACGCAGTTTCAAGGTTTTTTTGTTTTGTTTTTTGTTTTTTGTTTTAAAGATTTTATTTATTTGACAGAGACAGACACAGCGAGAGAGGGAACACAAGCAGGGGGAGTGAGAGAGAGAGAAACAGGCTTCCCGTGGAGCAGGGAGCCCAATGTGGGGCTGGACCCCAGAACCCTGGGATCATGACCTGAGCTGAAGGTAGATGCTTAACGACTGAGCCACCCAGGCACCCCCAGTTTCAAGTTTTAACATATATTAACATATATATGAGTGAATGTTTACACAGAAGATAAATGTATATCTTCATTATATCATAGCAATATCCCAAAAAGAACTTTAATCAAGAAAACATCCAATTTTTATTTTCCAGTTCTATTTAATTCTAAAACCAGATGGCTTTCAGAGACATTAAGGAAACAAGATATGACTAAACATCTGTGCAAATTAGCACAGGTCTGAATTGTGGAAGAAATTAGTTTGGTTTATGGAAAGCCAAGTAAAAACTAATCCAAACCAAAACTTACTCAGGACCATTTTTACTTCTGGCAACTTTAGCTGCTGGTTAGAAAATCTAGACCTGCTATGACATTAAATGGTGAAATTTTATTGGACTATAAAAATATTGGTAGATTTAGCAGCCCTTTCTTTCAATTGAAAACTACTGTTGCTATTTCATACCACAAGTATGAGAGCCATGAATTAGATCAATAATTCTAAAGTGGAAGCCAGTGATAAACCATGTTACTAGATCTTTTTTCCTTCAAAATATATCTACCTCCCTTCACATTCCCCCTACCACTAAGATTCTGAAGGGAAGTGGAGGTGATATAATTGATAGGTATGTGTGCCTTTTTTTCTAAACTCCTAGATTATTCTGATACATATGTAACTCTCCACCTTCAGGAGAATTTCTGAATTAGGTCCAACTCTATTTTTTAAATAGGCAGGCAAAGGACCAGAGCTACAAAGAGACAAGAGCTTAGTAGAAGGCTCTGCAGGTAAGGGCTATATTCACACCAGTTGTAAGCCACCTTCAGAGCTTTCTGTGTCAGCTCCCTCCAGAATTCATGATGTTATATTTTAGACAATGACAAATATTCAGTTCACCATCCTGAGAAAGGCACATAGTCTACTAGCCAGATAAAAATGTAAAAAGAAGCTATTTTGGACATCAAAAAAACTAAGAAACCACAGAGAATGAAAGACAAAAATTCCTCTGTTCTTGCATTAAAATAACAGCAAAGTACTTTTTTTTTGGTGCAGCTTGTAACTTGTCTAGAGACCTTCTGTCCATATTTTATCATTTTAGTTTTTTATTATGTAGCATTGGTTTTTCTATTTAAAGCTCAGCAAAGCTGAAAATCTTCATGGAATTTAATAAACTATTAAATGCCAGAACTGTGTATTAAAAACAAACAAACAAACCTAAATCCATATTGCATGTCAAGATGGCTTAAGAGTTGGATTTAAAAAGCTTTGAAGGCCCATTTTACAGCAAAAATTATACATCTTTACAGCAAGTGTTTCAAATTCCTTATAAACAGCTCCGATACTGAAATATGTCAGAAAAGTAGTCTTCTAATGATGTATAAATAATAAGCCAATTATTATTATTATTTTTTTTTATTTTTAAAGATTTTTTTTTATTTATTTATTTGAGAGAGAGAGAGAGCACAAGAGGGGGGAGCGGGAGAGGGAGAAGCAGACTCCCTGCCAAGCAGGGAGCCCGATGCAGGACTCGATCCAGGGACTCCAGGATCATGACCTGAGCCGAAG